GGTGGTGATGTTATCATTTGATAGTAGAGGATGAAGACTGACAGGGAAGGTTCATTATACAGTTTTGTGTGCTTTGTGAGATGAGGAAAAATATACTAGCTAGAGATATTGTCGTTAACCCAAAGAGCTATATTGCAAAATATAACAATAAGCTCATCCTCTACAAAGACCTAATAATGTTCAAAGAGGATGACTTTTCTTTCATTCTGGGAGGCACTCAAGTGGATATTAGGAGAAGGGCAAGTTTTCCAGAAATGAGCAAAAGTAGATAATTTCAATACATGAAGATACTTTCATTTAACATTAATTATATTTGAATATTGGTGTCTGATTAGGAAATCCTCCTGTGATGAGCAACATCGGGGGGATTCAGGGTCATTATGTCAGATCCTCCTGCCTGCAGATGCTGGGCCTCTGAGCCTGACATATAATTGTCTCCATCTTCCCCACCCCCACCCCAGCCACCAGCTGTGCCCCTGTCTCGGCCCCTGACAGGTCCCAGTGTGATGCCAATATAACAATATGGCGAGATGAGACCTGCCTTGATGATTGCTGCCTACACCCCAGGCACATAGGGCAGCAAGCATGTGCCACAGTCCTGACCATCATGCTGCCTTTGCCCTGGTGCCAAAGGGTACACAGAGAGAGCACGGATCCATCGATTCCTGTGGCAGAGCCTGACAGTCGGAATAATGACAGCCACCAACCTGTTCACTGGGGTTTAGCATTGAGATCAGCAAGGAGGCTCTAACTATTTAATTAGTCACCTAATTAGTGACAGGCCACACTGAAGGTTTCAGATGTCCTCAGACAAATGTAAAGATAAAAAGCCTAATTAAGCTGCAAGCGTTTGGCTAGTAGCTGCCAGACACCACAGCTGCAGCGGATATTGTGCGGTCCTGCATGGCCCGATAACAGGAGTTATGGTCATCCGGCCACAAATGTAGCTTCACAAACATGCTCTGCTAGTTCCAAGCTATTCTTGGAACCTCCACACTTTCAACCAGATGAGGAATCAATGTCTAGGACGAAAACTGGCGATTTCATCCTTAGGTGAGCTCATTGGGTGGGTTTTAGAGAAAACTCTTCCCGGCCATTAAAGTGAAGTACTTGTGCTACCAGTACTTTCCAGGAATTAGTGTGTATTTCTCTCTCACAAAAAGGGTCGTCTGGGCACCACCGAGGGCTGCTTTCAGCCATTGTCCTTGTAGAATTTATCGATGCCTTTTTCTAGAGCCATTATAGGCTCTTCAGTAGGTAGTTTACTTCACAATTGAATTAGGAAGGATTTGAAAATAATGGATTAAAAGAACTCACTCTGTAATTAGGAGTAAATAATAGAATAGACATGCAAGTTGAAACAGAATAAAATACTATCTGCTTTAGCTCAGTACATTAATACCTATGAGAATGAAGAAGCTGTTCTGTATAATTCTGGGGAGAAACATTGGTCTATTTGGGACATAATATGAGGCAAGGCCTCATATTAAAAAGATCAGGGTGATGCTGACATTGTCTACCCAAGACCACGGGCCACACTATGAATATCACAGAGGTAAAATGCAGGACAAATTAGACCTGGTTCCTGCCCTTTTTTCAAAAAATAGCATTTCCATGTTTCTTTTTAAAGCAGTTTAAATGCTTTTGTGGAAAGTCTAATATTTTCAAAATATTTGGGGAGTTCAGCAGAGCAAAATTTGGTACACAAAATATAACTTTCGAAGTGTTATGGAAAGAAGCTTAGCGATTTCTATAAAGAGATTTAGGCTTCATTATAACACTTTCCACTGGGAAATGGTACCTGCATGATGGATGACGGCATCTCACCAGTGGACGTAGTTGTTGATCCCCAGATACACAAGGGGTCCCCTTCATACATCTACTACAGCTGTGGAGCTACTCGGGTGACAGCATCTTTCAGCTATCAGGAGCCCTGTTGTGATCCACCTCAGCATGGTAAGGAGGACAAGACCACCATTAGGGCCTTGGTTGGCAGCAGAGGTGGGCTCATGCTTGAGACTGGCTTCTTTCTGCTTTTTCCAGTAGTAAATTAGTCTTCTTAACAGAAATACTAAGAAGAATGAACCACTCACAGTGTCCAAGTCAAGAACTTTCAACCCCAAAGAGCAAAAAGAGCACAACCCGTCCATCATGAGAACCATATTAAAGTAGTCTGGTCCATCATTTGTACCTTTGCATCACGAAGAACATGGATAATTCACAAGAAAATGTCTGAAGAGCTGCCTCTGTCTTCCAATTCACTGTCCTCTACACCATAGGATGAGTGGGAATTTTCCTTCTCTCTCTCACCCCAAGAAAAGCTCTTTTCTGGCCTTAGCCTTATGCCTTATTCCTCTGCTCACCTTGTGATTCCCACCATTTGGGTCCACACCCTAGCAGCAATAGTGATGGGGAAAGAAGCTGGAATGCATATGGGGCAGAGTGTAGAAATCTGAACTCACTCCCTCCTCCACTATTAGAGCTGTGTGAACATGATGCCCTCAGAAGACAAATGCACATGATATTGGTGGCTACAGACTCATGAGTTCTGCCTCCTCCCCACCCTGGGTTATGCCCACTTCTCTGCGGATCAGTCAGGGGCATTGAGAAGGTTGATGGACATTGCAGAGAACTCTAAGGGCCAAGACACTGTTTTTCAGCCCAGCGCTCAAGAATTCTTCCAGATCTGGGGGGATAAAGGAATTCACAAAATGTTCTAGTGTGTGTCTCTAAGAAAACAGCTATCACATATATCACTGGGTACTGGAGAGCCTCAGAGGCCTTGTACCAGAGTAAGGGCAAGACAATGCACATTGACACCCCGACAACCAGGCACTGTGTCCATGCGAATGCCACTCTGGATGGGCAGCATGACCAGATAAAATATCATGTTAAAAAAAAAAAAATTGAGCCCTCCCTGGTGGCGCAGCAGGTTAAAGCTCAGCACTAAGAAGCTAAAGCCACTTCAGCATGAGTTCAATCCTTGCTCGCCCCGGAGGTGATCCACATGGGCGGCAGACCTCTCCTGACCCGCCCCCTGCTCCCCTCAGCAGTGTACTTCGTTGATCTGCCTGTTCTGCTCCCCACTGTCTCTCACTGTCCCCACTGGTGAATCCTCTCATAGTCCCTGCAACTCTGGCCTGTACCCCAGTTCTGTATGGATAAATAAATCTTCAAAAAAAAAAAAAATTAAAGCATCGTCTCAGTATTTACTCCTTTGTGGAACTTACGTCCTGATGACTGTGGACAAATGACTTCAGTTCCCCCAGTAGCAAGTTAACACTTGGAAAAGAAGGCTGTGATAAGGGACAAGAATTTATGCAAGGACTGCTTTTGGTGCCCTTTGAAGAAGAAACCAAATTTGCTTTGTAATTTGTTTGCATGTAAGTAACAGAAGAACAAAGAGTTATACCTGTTTTGTTACCAAATGACAGGATTACTAGATTTTCTGGAAAAAAAGGCTGCTCACTGGGTCTCAAATGGGTTTTCCAGGAACTACAGCACCCCAGCTGGGTTAGATAATGCAGTGCAAGTGCCCAAGGAAGGTGATTTTTCTAAATCTTGCCTCTAAAATGTGGATTTAATCTTCACTGGGGGTCAGTGTTCGGTGAAAATGGTGTTTTTTCAATTTTATTCCAACTCAAATCATTTAGAAAATCGAGTTCAAATGGCAGCTAAACTGGTAAAGTAAAATATGCAGTAGGTTACTATGGTGATCTCTAATTTAAAATAATTAGAGAAAATAATGAGAAAACTATTTCCTCTCTTAAGGATTAGAGATCTGTAAACTGACACCACTCTATTTTTAGTGTACATAATCTGTGTAATGAAGATAAAGAATTATGAGCACTTTAAAATGCTTTAAAAAGGTCTGTTTGATTGAGGAATTTGATCATCGAAGTATTTACATCAAAATTTATAGTTGTCTTCATTAAATCTTAGCTTATTTCACAAAAGGAAATTATATGTATATATCTTAATATAATCATTTAAACAAAACATAATAACATAATATGGCTAAATTAAAATTTAAGACCAGTCTATGATAACTTCTTGACTGCTACAATTTTACAACTCTATATTGATAACTCATTAACTCAAAAATGGTTGCATAAAACTTGCTTTTCAGAGATTTAGATGAAAACACTCACTAGAATGAATAAAGTCCTCAAACTATCATGTGATACACACAGGAAAGCAGATATTCCTGGGTATTCCTCATTATTATTTTCACACAATGAAAGATTGCCACAGAGTGACCACAGTATCTGAAACACATGAATTCCACTGCTAATTTCAATAATGACATATGACTGATTTCTGATTAGCTAAGGGTATATTCTTGATAATTAAAGAAAGTGCTAGAAAGTGAAAAATAATTCATTCTCTATCTGGTTAATGTACTATCAAATGAGCAAAATAACCATTTGGGGTAAGTTCATTTTCATATCAACCAGATCCCTTTCAGGGGTTCTTTCCACAGCTCTTTCCTCATTTAACCCTTCACAAGGGCCTGCATCTCTTCCCTGGGTAGTAACATTGCTGCCTTCCAAAGCAGCCATAGTAGGGTTCCTTTCTCCCACCTTCCATTTACCAACTTGCCTCCTAGGACTTGAAGCTTTAAACTGTAGCAAAAGATTCCCATGTGATACTGAGTAATATTAGGAAAAAACTATGTAGGTTGTAGTACCCCCAAAGTCAGGGTGTTTTATAACATCTCTTCTTTTTTTTTTTTTAAATGATAGGGGACTTCACCAAGCTATCATAGACAATACATAAACAACTTAGTAAAGCTGTGCTCCCATAAAGTTTTATTTAGAAAATCAGATGGAAAGCCAGATTTGACCTGGGATATAGTTTTCAAAAATATTGAAAATTGTGCCAATTCATTAATCCACCTAAGCCTAGTATATAGTATGGCAAACTCATATCCATTCTTTCACAGGGGGCTCACTCAGGTACAGTAAAAAACAAACAAATAGAAAAAGTGAACTACTCACCAAAATACCAATGTCTCGAGGAAGGAAATTCCAACATTGGATGCACCAACCACAACAATCTTGGCATTGACAGTTATTTTAGGTTCCAATGTTAGTTTTCTGTTTGTATGGTTCAAGGCATAACTCAACTGGGAAAAAAATACAGAGAGAAAGCAGGACTTCAGGAAAACTGCTAAGTCTACACTTCAAGTTGGCAATTATATGATTATTTAATCAGTCCCCAAGTCTTTCCATGTTTCCAAGGTTTACCTCAATTTTAAAAAATATATTCATTACACCATCCTTCATTTTTGCACAATGCATGATTTCCCTGTGAAATTCCCACCACCAATTCATCTGGGCTCCGTCACCATAGTCCCCTGTGTTCTTCCCACTCCTGTCCAGATCCTTTCCCTCCTCCCCCCAAATTTTGAACAACAGATTACAAAAGCTGAATACTAGAAGACAAGCTCTTATTCAATTTGGCATTTCTTACATTTACACCAGGAATTTGTGCACAGTAGTTACTCAGTAATAATTTTAGGATGACAAAAACTTGTTCAATCCTTTGTTTGAGGTCAGGGAGAACTAGTGGGAACATAGAAAGTAACTGGTGATCATTTTGATTCCCACATTTGCAATAGTTACATAGTTTGGTAACCTTACTGACTTTCCAACAGAGACTTCAGTAGGGGCATTTAATGTACAAAGGAAGGTTTTACAAAACAATAGTGGGGAGATCTTGAGTTGGGCTCCCATTCATATTCAAGGATCAAAGATGCCATGGGTATGGCCATAAGCTTTGTTATTCACTAGCTACTTTGTGTGAGCTAGAAGACAAAGCCCTCTTTCTAGCTTTAGTTAGCCTAGTAACATAAGAGGCAGAAAAATGCCTTTAATCAATTAAGGTATTAATAAAAATTTAAAACAAGGGTTGGAGATTTTAAACACTCTCTCAATTAACATTCTTGATGCCTCTCAGTATCTGTTCCCATCCTCATGCCCACTTTTAATGAGGCATAACACAAAATCTGGAAGAGACTGAGCCCACTCTTATCTTTGAGTGAACTTCGATTGACATAAACCAAGTTGTATAATCCCGCTCTCTTTGTGCAACAACAGACCCATGATAGATACGTGACTTAAGTTGTTCTAGTCAGAGTGAGGCCTAAGACATTTTTATGATGGCTGAAAAAGACAGCTTTTTCTTGTCTTCCAGATGGTATGGGATATAGATGTGAAGCCTGAGATATATTATCATTCCACCAAGAGGGAAACATGCTGGATTGAAACGCCAAGGGAATTACAGAAAAACAGAACAGGGATTCCTTTAAAACCCTACTGGAAGTCCATTCTAACTTTGGAATTTTCAGCTATATGAGGAATGAAATATCAGTCAGCTATTAGCTATTGTCACAGCAGTGTTGTGTAACAAACCACCTCAAAAAAACAACTTATCTATTCTCGCTCATGCAATTCTGAGTCAGTTAGCAATTGATTGATACAGATTGAACTCAGGAGCAGATATCAGACAGGGCTTACATTTGTCTTTTTTGATGAGAGATAGCTTGGGCATGTTCTTCTTATAGCAAATGTACACATGCAAGAAAAATAAGTGAATAAGCAACACTTCTTCAGTCAGGCTAAAGAAATTCATGTGTGTGAACCTTATAGCCATAAGTGGAGAAGTAGTCTCATATGTGGCGGGAGGAACCTCAAGGTCATATCACAGGGTTACAGCCTAGGGAGAGAGCCATGGCTGGAAGGTGTTGTTGCCCACAGTATTTCTTTTATTGTTTAGGCCAGTTTATCTGATATGCAACTGAAAACTACCTAAATTGGTACACTTTCTAAATGACAATAATGAACATAACCTGTGGGCGAAAAAGTGTTCCCTGGTCTGTTCTATGAGAGACCAAGACAAATCACAAAATTTCTTAAGGCAGGTAAATGAAGAATTCTTCAAGAAAATTAGTTAATAATGTGCTACTATGGGCAGAAACCAGCCTCTTGGTGATACGTGGAGAGGGTCTCCAACATCTGGGTTTCAGTGACTGTGAAACCTCTTAATAAATGTCTTTCACCAATTAAAAAAAAATAATGTGTCACTATGAACTGTGTTCTGATTAATTTCCAAGACCAGAAGGCTGGCAGCAAATTGTTCTAGTCAGTCTTAAATCTGGCGGCTTAGAGGAAAGAAGCATGGCTGTTGTTTATGACGGCATCTAAACACAGAACTAATTATCAGACTTAAAATGTAAGCATCTTAACAGAACCCAAGATTCCTATCCTCCGAGGTCAGAACCCAAGATTCCTATCCTCCGAGGTACCAGTACAGTTCAAACATTCCCTTCTGCTGTCCGGAAGCCTGCACTGACATTGAAACATGGGCAGTAATGAAATTCCCTGGTAAAGAATTATACCCCATTTATGAAACAGCTCCTGTATCAATGATACAAAGGCAGCCAGGGAACAGAACAGAATGGCTTTTGTTTTCCACACAATAGGTTTAACACTAACAGCTGCCAGGCCTCAGAAATCACCTTTCTAACTGCTGAATACAGAAAGTGGCCTGGGGTGTCAAGAGTTAGCGATCAGTACCAATAAGGGTGGCAGTCTTAGAAGAATGATCAGGCATCACAATGATTCTCAGTAAACCCAATTTTGTGGCCAGATTTTAATTAAAAAACATATTCATCAGGTATGATGAAGTCTTTTGACCCGGAAAAAAAAAAAAAAACACATTTTCCTCTTATTAGGCTAGGTGGTTTGTAGATATCTTGAAAAATAATTCTTTCTAGCCTGGAATTTCTTTCAGAGACAACTACAAAGAAAGACTGCTTTTCCAGCTTTTAAAAGGGTTTATTTTGCCCATAAATAGGAAGCTGAATATTTTTCTTCCTTACCCCTCCATCCTTCAAAATATAAGTTTTTATGTTAAAAATAAATAAAGATCTGGAAGACCCCCTGAGTCAGTGAGCTTTTCCTTTTCCTTACTTGAATATCTACACAAAATACCCAAGGTGAAAGAGAGCTAGGGTCTGATTTCCTTAGTCAGACAGTAAAAAAGAAAGCCCTACCTATTGGCTCATATTTAATAGAAACTCAGTGTGCCTTATAGTAGCAATTATTTCAAAGATTAAGTAGGGAGATTCAGTAAATTGCTTAATTACGGTATGGTACATACCATACCAGTGGTAACATTCTGATTCTCACCTACGTGCGTGTCCTTTCAAGACATTTCTGATTTTTTTCTAATGATGCTAGGTTAGCATTTGTAGACCATGGGATGATTGTGAATATTGACCTGGCAAGAAGACATAAACTCTATGGCATGGCATCTAAGTTGATTTTTGAAGAATGAAAGAAATGTTCTTAAAATTGATAATGACTCTCTGGGGCCCTCCCTGGTGGCACAGTGAGTTAAAACACAGCACTAAGAAGCCAATGCCACTTGCGCATGAGTTCAATCCCCAGCCTCAGAGGTGATCCATATGGCGTGGCAGACCTCTCCTGACCTGCCCACTGCTCCCCTCAGCAGTGTACTTCATTGATCTGCCTGTACTGCGCTCCACTCTGTCTCTGGTGAAGCCTCTCACTGTCCCTATATCTCTGGCCTGTACCCCATTTCTGTACGTTTAAATAAATAAATCTTTAAAAAAATTAATAATGACTCCCATAATGAGTTTAAAACACAAACTTGAAGTTCCATCCTTTACATAAGGATTACAATAATATGCAATACTTCGTTAGAAAATTCTAGAGCTAGCTTGAGGTGAAGGGAGGAGTATGGAAGATTTGGAGAGAAAAGACAATAAAGGTGGGAGGGAAGTTAAAACAGGGAACAGAAATGAGCAAATGTTTACATTTTAACTTACTGGTAATTTCCCATGAGCTTCTAAAACAGAAAACTTGTACATGTAAGAGGGTGAACCACTGAGATAGCTCTGCGTGCTTTTTTTCATTTATCCAGTTTGTCTGTTTCCTCTACCTAATCCATTTACTTTCTGAAATCAGGAACTACATCTTTTTTTCTTTTTTAAAGCATTTCTTTTTTTAAATATTCCTACCATTTTCGGATATTTGATAAAGGGTGTAAGAACAGATACATAAACTTTGCATTTCATGAGCCCTTTTAAAGGGTGTTGATGCAAATTATTTTAAAAGTTGGTTCTTTTCCAGTTGCTCAATGGGCAAATGATCTATATAATATTAGAACTATTTAGGGTTAAATTTGTTGTTTTTAGTAAAAATGATGATATAATGATTCAGTTGAGTTTAGGCCATGATTCACATGCATGTGTAAGAAACTTTAACTACATGGTCCTGTGTTTATGCATTTGTCCACTGTCGTATGGCCAAATATAATTTTTTCAGGTATACATAGACCTGATTCTGTGTCCTAACTTGAACCTAAGTTAGGATGACTACAAGAGTGTTCTTGAAATTCAATTTCAATAATAGATCCTAAATTAGAAGTTATTAAAATTATAAATAGAACAGTAAATGGAAAAGGGTCAGATAAATACATATGATGCTACATAATAAATGCAAGATTCATACTAAAATGGAACTTGACAAGATCTGTGGGGAATTTTTTCTGATAATGACATTTCATTTGGAGGTCACGTTCACCCTCCAGGATCATTAGACTGGGCATCATTAGCTTGGTGGCAACATTTGGGCTTGTTTTCTTAATTCTGCTACTGGGTGAAGTTCTAAGCCTCCTTTCCTTAAATATCAGTTTCCTCAGGTGTAAAATGGAAGTAAATTACACAAATCTCTGCCTTCCTCAGCAGGCAAACATGGGAACTATTCATTAAAAAACGTCGACAAATACTTTGAGCTTTTCAGGCAAAGATGTTACACAAGGTAAAATTGCACATCCTCTTTCCTGTCTGCAATATGAAAGGCAAATCTTCGAAAAACACATTTTAAAAGGGCAAAACAATGAGCTCAATTTTCAGCTCCACACCCATGTATATATTTTTTCCTACAGAAAGCTTCGAAAGACTTCAAAGGGAGCCCTGTCCATGCTAGGAAATGGAAGATGGAGAGATTCAAAGCCATTAGGGACAGAATTTCTGAAATTCTTAATAAGCCTCCTTTTGCTTTACAAGTGTAATTTTTCTTATGCTTTTCCATTCTC